AGTGTGTGCTGCTCATTGGAGGAAGGTGCTTTGAAAACGCGCGCTGCCGCGAGCCTGTCTGCGATTGGTGTGTGACGAAGCTGCCCGCGCTCTGCGGAAATATAAGCCAGGCTCGGCGCCGATCGGGCCACATTTCCTTAGAGTGTTAACACTGCGAAGAGAAGTTACAAGATGAGTGGACGTGGCAAAACCGGAGGCAAAGCCAGAGCTAAGGCTAAGACCCGCTCATCCCGTGCCGGGCTCCAGTTCCCCGTGGGTCGTGTCCACAGGCTGCTGCGCAAAGGCAACTATGCGGAGCGCGTGGGTGCCGGCGCCCCCGTCTACCTGGCAGCTGTGCTCGAGTACCTGACCGCTGAGATCCTCGAGCTGGCTGGCAACGCAGCCCGCGACAACAAGAAGACTCGTATCATCCCACGTCACCTGCAGCTGGCTGTGCGCAACGACGAGGAGCTCAACAAGCTCCTTGGCGGAGTCACCATCGCCCAGGGAGGTGTGCTGCCCAACATCCAGGCCGTGCTGCTGCCCAAGAAGACCGAGAAGCCTGCCAAGGCCAAGTAAATGCCAAAGCCTCTGCTTCACGCTCCAAACAAATCAACAAAGGCTCTTTTCAGAGCCACACACTTCTTTCTGAGCAAACATCCTCGTGGCTCTTCATCTGCTATATGGAAATGTAGTATCACCTTATTCTCGACAACTGTGTGTGTGTGTGTGTGTGTGTGTGTGTGTGTGTGTGTGTGTCCTTTTAGTTACTTACCTCTTATTACTCTTACAAAATTATCCCAGAAAGTATATTTCTTTTCAGCAACACTTTTTCTTGGATCAAAACCACTTGCAGTCTCTCGCAGCGTGATCCATGCCCGTGCCTTTTTCACCTCTGTTGCTTGCATCTTTCACAAATCTGTCACTTTATTCTCAAGTCAAAACATCACGTTCAACACAACTGATTACATCACGTTTTTACGCTCTTAACAATTCGGAGCTACTCATATGCTAACTACGGCCGTAGAAATACATCATGGTTGACATTAAAAGCAGATCCTAAGCTTGTGGAAACAGACACGGCATGTTCCCTCTAATTTTTCATGTGTTTGAACAAACACACAAACTCCCTGAGCGGACACTTGGACCACTGTGAGCAACAGCAGACGTGTGCACTGTGGTCACGCGGGCATCAAATCCATCCAAGTTACATGTTTATTAAAATAATCAAATTACAGCATTTATGTTAGACTACTTTTAACTGCTTTATCCCACTTACAATGAAAATAAAAAAAATCTTGTTCATGACCTGTGTAGTATGTTAACACTATTGGAAGTAAAAATAACTTTAACTCCAACTTTGAAAACACAAGTTTATTTATTTTTTAATATAAAGCTCTGACTTGTATAATGAGTCTGAGTCTGGGAGAGAGTCTGTAACTCTGTCTGCAAAATACAGCATATAATGACCAATGTTGGGCAATTAATTATATAGTTACTACTTCAAAAAAGTAACTGAGTTTTACAAACAACGTTTTTTGTAGCTGTTTATCTAAAAATGCTGCCAAGGCGTTTTTTAAATAAACATTTCAAACTATTT